TGGCCATTAGCTGATACTATAGGTCTCCCTGGAATCCCTTCTTTATGGAGTTTTGGAAGTAAGTAAAATCGACCGGCTGTGCAAGTTTCGTCTGGGCGTAGATAATCGTACGTATCGTCATCAATTTGTTTATCTTTATTCATTTCTGAGAGGACGTCATTAATTTTTTGTTGATTTCTTTGGTTGGATCACATGTTAATTCTTTATAAAATTTAGTGTTGGAGAGCTGACGATTCCCTTTTTCGATGTAGTCTGCCTTGTTCATCACAACAACGGCACTTCCTTTGTCCGCTTGTTTGATAACAATGTCATCACGGTCTTTTAAGTTTATCATGGCTTGGCTTTCTGACTTTGAGATATTTCGCACTTGTTTACCACTGATTGAAGATCTGACTTCAGCTTTGGCTGATGTAATAAATGATTCCAAATTATCGTTTTTGCTTTTAGGTGGATTCCATGTACTTTTCTTTTTAAATTTTCGGATGCATATGTCTCCTTCATCACTCTCATAATCGGATTCATTCATTCCGGCTTCTTTTAGATTTTTATTCTGTTGTCTATTGAAATGTTCTTTCAAACGAAGACTCCTGGCAAATGCTTCTACATCTTTCTCAAGTTGTAAATTATTGACGGTTGCTGGAACTGGACAGAAATTAAGGCCTTTTTTTGGTCTTTTTTTGGTCTTTTATATATTTATATATATATATATATATCGATGGGTTAATGCCACAACCTCGTAACTGAAAATTTGTCACTTTTCAGAAACAGACATACACAGTTTGAACGCCAATATAAATTTCATTTTGCTTCAAAAATGTATCAAATTAACTTTGATTGCGTAAATACTCCTAATGATTATAATTTTATAATTTGATGCTAATTGGATGACAGATAACCGATAAAAATGCACTTGAAATGTTTAACGGATATAGGCATCTCATGATGATTAAATTTAATGCAGATGTGTTTGCCATAAGGTCATAGCTAGTGATAAAAGGTATACGCTCTAAGGTATATCATATTTTAAATTGTGTTTGATAAGCATCATTGCATTTGCAATTGATAAGAGATTGTGGAATTTATAATATGAATAAATATAACTGAATGAATTTTATTTACTTTGAACAATATATTAGTTTAACAATTATATACATACACATAATGTTATAAAACATTGTTAAGGAAAAAATAAAGATGATGTAAAGCAATACAGTACATAAAGGAATTATGGAAAGTGGATTTAGCTATACAAAAATACATACATATAGTTGAAAACTCTTATAATTTATTTTTCGTCAAACCAAAAAATATTATTCAATTCGCAATTTTCTGAAGCAATAAGAGATGGTTACAAAATTTCTGAAATGAAAGATATGTCATTGTCTTTATAATACTTGTTTGGCCTTAATAACACATAATATAATTAAATCAGACTATCTACACAAAGACCTTGGATTGATGAATTTATTGTGTGAATTAATATTCATTGAACCTTAAAGACAAATAAAAGCAATATAATGTATCAAAGTTCCCAACGAAAATCGTGTGTTATAGCTGTGTTTCACAAAAAGAATATACAGAACCCCAAATAAGATTAAAATCATAAACTTACATGTTTATTGGTTTTGCGAAATCATTAATATCATTTTGCTCGCATGAAAGAAAAAAATTGAGAATATTCTTTAACACCATTATGTTTAAAAAATCAATTAATCTCAAAACTGCAAATTTTTCAGTTAAGTGGTTGTTGCATTAAACCCTCGATATATACAAGTCTAAATTGAAAACAACGTTCAAACCTACGATTGCGTCAGTCAATTAAGAAAATTAAAGGTAAGGTTTTAAATTAATTCCATTAACAGAAATCAGTAAATTGGCCAATTCAAACTTAATGAAATTAAGCATACAAAGTAAACAATTGAATATGATTTGGTGAGTCCATTTAAGCGACAGATTTAGAAAGCGTTGATTCTAGAAAGAAAATCCATGGTAAATGAATAGGCTAACGTCACGACAATGGTTTGAGAGCCTTTTCTATGTATGTTTTTTTTTTTGGTTGCGGTTCAGTATTTCTGTTGTTCCGTTGTTTTCCTCTTGTGGTTGATGTGTTTCCCTCGGTTTTGGTTTGTGACCCGGATTTGTTTTCGCTTAATCTATTGATGACTATGTAACATCGGTATACTACTTTTTTAATAGCTTACTATATGGGTGGTATGGTGTTTGTTCATTGTTGAAGGCCTTACGTTTTTCGTTATTTGACATGGCAGTTGTTTCGACTAATGAGTTTGAATATCCCTTCTTATCTTTCGCTTCTTTGGCAATCATTCAAAATTTTCTTATCTTTATATGGTCTTGTTTAACTACTGTAGTATATATTACATAATAATTAGGTATAATCGTGATATTTTTATTTCCTTCTGTTTCCTTGAAATACCTTCTTTTTCCGACGAACGAATAAAACAACAAATATATGAACGTCTTAGAATTTGCAAATGATGTTTATATCTTCTGAAGTCTTTCGCTGTTAACAACAATTCGCGAATAGAGTCGGTTTAAAGTTTAAAGGTACTATGAATAACTGGCATTTAGTTCAGTCAACAGTTTAAGTAAAAAAGAAGAAAACATTTATATAATTAATAAAATGTTAAATCAAGTCGTGTACAGATTCATAAAAAACACAAAAACAGGTAAGTAGAAAATAAAATATTAGCATCATTGTTCTAACGTTTTCATCTTTCACGGGACTATTCAAGATATGTAACTAAGTCACGTTACCACGGGATTAGTGTGACGTTACGTTATTGTTGTGCATAAATTGCGTACTTATACATAAAATACGGAAGAAAAATAACATTTAAACTCATCAATGGTCAACTTTGCCTGAACAAGTTGCAATCTTGGAAACTAACACCAACACGTCAAAATATTCATTTAGTAATACTAGATATAAATGACGACGATACATGCTTTAAAAAAAAAATCAATGCAAGTTAATGGGGACAACAGTTCGAATCCCGTCTAAGGACCCTTGTTTTATAATATTTTTAACAACTGGACTTACAATTTAATTTGAAAAACCAGAAGCTGGCCTTATTTGAATTTTCCTTTTCTTTTAACTGTTGAATACATTTTTATGATGATGAAAATTGTTCTGTCTACAGTGTATTACCGGTTTTATTTCGGATCAGTATAACATTGTCTAGTACATTAATGGTTTTGGACTTATTAAATTTGCATAAATTAAACATTCTGCCCTTCTTTGCGTTTTCAATGACAACTGTAGGACTGATTAGAATATGTTATTAATGTCAACAGAAGAACCAATGTGTATTTGATGCAACCTTTTTCTTTTTTTTTTATTATTCTTTGGAACTTTACCTATGTGTTAAAGATGATCACAAACAAGATTTGCACCTTTTTGAATTGAGGGACTCATATATATATGTACAAACAACTGGGCTAGTAGGGAAAGGACAATTGCTTTCGCTTGGAATTTTTCATGATTCGTTATTCATCAGCGTTTAAGTTTAAACCTTGGTCATATCGACCAAATTTTTATTCTATTATATTGTTTCCTCGCAGCTTCTTCAAACCTCCAAGGATATTCTTCTTTTAAGTTCTCAATTTGTTTTCTATATATTTGGACAAAATAGGCAATTATGAGCTGAGCGACAGTTGGCTTTTGTTTTTAAATATTACCCTGGATATATTTCAAATTAGATAATGGGTGTAACTTCAGACAAGTACTTTCTTCAAGATAAGCTTTATAGTGTGAATTTGATTTTGGGAATATGTTCAACAGTAAAGCGTTTTGATGATAAAATCATTAACTCGAATTAGTTAATTATTTGTCTCCATTGAATATTAACCGTATTATCACTGTAGTGAATGTATCGACATTGACATGTATGTTTACATCATTCTCTTCGAAATAATATTTTTGAGCGTTCATAATTAAAAGCGCTTTGGACAAATACAACTTATGAAATGTAACTTTACATTTGGTTTGTTAAATAACTCATTCAGTGGATTATTTAAGAGGGACGAAAGATACCAGAGGTACAAGCCCTGTGTGTCCGTTGTACTGATAAGTATCATATGTTCAATATATATATATAAACTTATAAGTCCACTAGTTCAGCTAATTAAGCAACTCTCCACAATAGAAAAAACGACGTCGAAACAAGCAACTCAGCTCATAATTGACTATTTTGTCCAAATATATAGAAAAGAAATTGAGAAATTAAAAAGGAGAATTTCCTTGAAGGTATGAAGAAGCTGCGAGGAAACAATATAATAGAATACAAATTTGGTCGATATGACCAAGGTTAAAATTTAAACGCTGATGAATAACGTATAAAAATTGCAGTATAACTATGTTTTTTATCTAACGCAATCATAGGTTTGAACGTTGTTTTCAATTTAGACTTGAATATATATATTCTTATCTTTATTCGACTGGCCATGTACAAACGACTTACTCTTTTCACAGTAATAGCTTCAAATATCTAGTAAGACGATTAAGAGTGTAAACGGTACTTCCAACTAGATTCAAGGTTTGACGAAAAATGTGAAAAGATACTTTGATGCAATACAAACTGTAGTAAGTGAAAACAACACAAGACAGTGTATAGGCAAAGAAAGCTTAAGCAACATTAACATCTTTAAACACGATAACCTTAAACTAGTAAGCAGTGTTCTTGTAACACTACATTAGTTCTGGTGACCACTATTGAGTTGTACATAAAAAGCAAACAATGTTTATTAGTTTGATGTGCGGTATGGATTTTGCTCATTGTTTAAGCGGTACGATAACATACAGTTGCTTGTTTCTACGTCGTTTTTTCTATTGTGGAGAGTTGCTTCATTGGCAATCGTATCACAGCTTCTTGTTTTTATCAAAACTAAGGTTTAAAAGTAAGATAAACATAATTACAATTGTTACATACATGCTACATTATAAAAGCCTGATCATTTTGACTAATTACATCTGTTTAAAGAAAAGAATAGAAAGGATACCTGGTACAACAGTATGTGATCCACGTAACAAGTTCAAAAACATCAATGTAAGTCAGTTATTAGTTTAATGTCGATATTTAACACATACACAATATCACTGACCGAATGATCTGTAAACACATTTCAACTATCCACGGTACATTCAACAGGGGATTCCATAACCAACTGACAAAATCAAACGTTTTCAACCAACAGAACCAGTAAAACTGCCGTTTTCCCGACTTGGTACAGGTATTTCAAATAACATTGTTTCAATAAGATATGATAACAGATAGTTAACTTATAGTTGTAGGATAGCCAATGCCATATGTCTTATTTGTTTAAATTCCTGGCTTCGATATTGTAGATTTGTCAAATAATCCGTCTCAATCTCCTTTAGTAAAAAACTAGTATTATTTACATATTAGTAAACAGCTATGTTTAAATGTCACAATTCAAACTGAATACTGATTAAAATCAAGGTAGCAAACACATACGATGGAATTGAATGATTTCAAAAGGGGCAAGACCTGATGCGTCTACATGGTAAGCGTCTCCTGCTATGCATGTGATTGGGGGATAATATCACATCGCCTTTTCAGAATCTGAAGGACTATACGAAATTTTATTGTTCGTACCCCGCATTGAAAATAATGTCACGCTAATTTCCATCTTTAAGATCGAACTTTAACCAATCACAACATTTTGGTCTAGGGTTTTAAAGACATTACCCACAATGCATTATATTTTGAAACGGTGAACTTGGTAAATGTATACTTTTATGTTGTATCAATAGGTATTATTCCTATTAAAACATTTCATAAAGACTACAGTGTGACACCAGCATCATCAGCCATGCCATTACACATTCAAAATGTCACAATCGGTTTAATTTCAGATGATACGACATTTCTGGTATCTGGAGATCTCAGACCGCGAATTAAAAGTCGCTCGTGATTTGAGATACAGACTCATCGTATTGGTCAACAGATTCAAGATTGAGACCATAAAATTAATGTTTCGTCGATTTCAGTCGTTCTCCCTCATTAATTGCTTAAAACAAATGTTTTGTAAGGAGCACACCCCTAGTAATGAACTCCATATTTTGTGAACATGGATAAGCTTAACGTTTTAGTTGTAAAGGCCACACTAAGCGGCAGAGGTTATATAACATATTTTGTTAACGTAGAGTTACTTTGTCATAAATTAGGCTGCTGGATTTTCATTGGAATTGTTAAACATTTTGTCATGTCAGCTATTTTGAAACTGACTTTACGGTATGGATTTTGTTCCTTGTTGAAGTTCGTGGCCTATCGTTTCTTAAGTCATGTTAATTTTGACTGCAATGGATAGTTGTCTCATTAGCACGCATACTGCATCTCCTTGTTTCATATACATTCTTACTTGAATGACTCCAATGAAATAAGCGGTTATGTGATGGCAAGGACCTTCAATTATCTTTTGCCGACGGATGCATTATAACTTTCTATGAACACTTAAAATGTTCATACATAAATTGCATGTTTGTGTTTTTATTAATGTTAACATACACTTACTAGTACTATTCCATATTTAGGCTTGTTTTGAAGAATGCATTGACATGAATGTAAAGAAAAAGTGCAAGTGTCTGCTGACATTTTCGCGAGCTAATAATACTAAATTGTTTACCTGTTACACAGATGAAGGTAACGATAGTTATATGAAACATTACAAATATGTTCTGTTAAACTTAACATCATTCTAATATTGGGGAGGCAAACATCATATTCAAAACATAGAAAACTTTACATAAATCAACTCATCATAGATACAAGGATTAAAATTGTATACGTCAGACGCGCGATTCCTCTAGGAAAGACTTATCAGTGACGCTCGAATAAAAAAAAAACAATAACAGGCCAAATTAAGTACAAAGTTGAAGAACATTGAGGACATGTATAAGGTTATCAATCCATTTATTGGACTTTACCATTTTTATATCGTTTATCAGTTTTTATTTTTCGCAAAACATGAGGTATGACATATACAAGATCAGAGAACCAGTAAGACTTAACTTCACTTTATAAATTTTTCGCAACCTCACTGCTTGTATTGATTGGCTTTCACAAAGAACGCTCAAAACACAAACATTAGAAAGCCAGGAATGTTAAAGGGTAAAATAAGGCCACCATTTACAACATTCACTTGGAATCTCAACACATACCCCCACGACACTTACCAAAGAGGAAATCTTGGATTATCATAGGTTTGTTCTCTGTTCCTTTTGAATTTCAACCAAAGATGAAGAACTGGATTTCCATCACTGTATTGGATACCTTAACTACATAAGTGTCCTTACAAACAACGTTATAGTGCTGGGTCTTCCATGTGCTCCATGAAATCTCTTTCTAAATTATTAACATCAATTTTATCAGCAATCAAAGCCGGGCTTCAAAGTTTGTGTGAAACTACCTATTCTAGAGGTGGCTTGAATCAGATGTAGATGCTAAAAAATTCTTAAGATCGTTTAGAGTTTATACAATCTAAGACTCTTTCATCTTGCAATAATATTAAAACAGTTGACTCTTCATCATTTTACACAAGTATTCCCATTCCAAACTAAAAGACAAATTGAAAGAGTTAGCTCTGCTTTGTTTCATAAAACAAAATGACCGACGTAAATACAAGTATCTTGTCTAATGAGGGATAAATCATACTTGTAACAAAAACACTCTGATTCAAAAAAAAAAAACTGACATTATCAAGATGCTTGATTTCTTGATTGACAACATATTTGATACCTTTTGAGGACGTGTTTTTTCAACAAATAATCGGCATTCCCATGGGAACCAACTGTGCCTCTCTTCTTGCCGACTTGTTCCTGTATTTATATGAGGCTGACCTCATACAGTAGCTTCTTAGGAAGAACAAAAACAAGTTAGCAGTATACTTAAACTTTACTTTCCGCTATATAGATGATGTTCTCTCACTAAACAATTCAAAATTTGGTGACTATGTTGAATGCATACATTCCATTGAACTGGAGATAAAGGATACAACAGATACAGTTAAGTCTGTCTGATATCTTGACTTACATCTAGAAATTGACAATGACGGTCGGTTGAAAACATAACTTTACGACAAAAGAGATTATTTCAGCTTCCCAACTTTCCATTTCTATGTAGCAACATTCCAGCAGCGCCTGCATACGAAGTATATATCTCCTAGCTAATACGATGATCCAAGGCTTATGTTTCCTATCACAATTTCCTTGATGGAGGGTTGCTGCTCACAAGGAAGCTATAAAACCAAGAGTTCCAAGTGGTAAAGTTGAAGTCATCCATTCTTGAATTTTACTGACGCCATCACGAGTTTGTTGACCGTTATGGAATATATTCCAAATGTCGTAACTACAATCCTGTCCCCTTTTCCTTGAATGTGACCTACAAATTTAGACTTATTACCGGGTTTTTACTAACATGAGCAACACGACGGGTGTCACATGTGGAGCAGGATCTGTTTACTTTCAGGAGCACATAAGATCACCCGCAGCTTTGGTGGGTTCTGTTGCTCAGTCTTTGGTTTTCTATGTTGTGGTTTGTGTACTATTGTACATTCTCTTTTTAGCCATGGCGTTGTCAGTTTATTTTTCGACTAATGAGTTTGAATGTCCGTTTGGTATCTTTCGCCTCTCTTTAAAATGTGACCGATTTATAGATATAACCTCTCAACGCATTAGTAAAGCGATTTGGATTGCGGACGTCAATGCGAAATTAAAGGCTCCTTTATTTCATATATAACTATGTCAGTGTTTATTCTATGTACTTTGCCTAATTTTATGTGTTTTTTTTGGGGTAGATCTGGAGAAGTTCTAAAACTACTCAGTTTAATTATTTGATACCGTGCAGCCAATAATAAAATGCACATTTCTGCAATTGTCAACCTTTTGTTGAAGAATTTAATGTTCCGTCAGGTTCCTGGAGGAATTGTCTTGATATGTTTATGTCATGTCCTTTATCACGTTGTTTGGCCATTTGTTATGTATTGTTTTACTTCCTCATATACAGTAACATTATCTTTTCCTGTGGTAAAGTTCCACATTGAAATAATCTTTTCATGAATTTTACAGCTAATATCAAAAGCAGACTATTGTAATTTTAGAAATGTATGCGTGCATTTGTTTTTGGGATGGTAGAACAATTGACAACCATGAGATATTAATTATTGCGATTTTATAAAATGGTGCACATAAATAATTTTATCAAAATTTAAAATGCAAGTTTGTATATTTGCGAACCCTATACCTTCACATGCTTTACTATAATACAAACATCTTAAAATATATCTGAAGTTACAGTTACTTTATTAACTGATAACTATGATATAGCCTGTTTTGATAAAAACAAAAGATACATGTTTCCATTTCATTTTTTAGAGTTTGCCTGCATAGAAAATGTTCATGAAAACGTGACGGGTTGCAAATGCCAAAATCCTTGCAGGTAAAACATAAATATTCCGTCAATTTTGAAAAAAAGAAAATTAAAAGTTTTGCAAAGAGATGCTATTATTATTATTTTTTTAATATATGCACTAAAATCAAGAGGATTTATAATGTCCTCATTAAATATTTTACAGTATTTTATCACATAATATGCTGGTCCATTTGCATGATTTGCTAAAGCATTTAAAATGACAAGAAATGCAAAGAAATGTCGTAACTTTATTGTTGTTGTTTTTCTAATTAATAAATGCTGGAACATTCCCGTTTTTCTTGTGTTTCTAACATTAAACAAAGCATACTTTATTGCACAAAATGCGCATTTCAACACTTAGAGTATCACCAATGACTGTGCGGTCAACATCTACTGGAAACGCTGAAGAACTGAAATATGATTGAAAATGATCAAAATTAAAACCAAAGTAACACAAATGCAAAAGAAGCATTGCATAAGTGAGACATAATTCCAGTATTGTAACAGATTTCTCCAAAGTTTTATAACATCACATTAAAAAAATAATATCCATATGTTCTTAAAAGTATAGAAATGCAGCGCTGTTTTTAAGAAATGAACCTAAATTTTACATTTTGTAGTGAAAAAAAACACGAAATGACAATTACTACCACTAGGTGGCCAGCTGAAAACTATGAAGAATTGCTGGAAGACATTTTGCTTCACAAAGGATTATCAGTCTCCAATATAAGGTTACGAATATGTTTTCTTCCATTGATTTATTAGTTTGTCTAAGTTTAAAAAAGGAAACAAATACAATACAGGCAACAGTATTATACCGCTATTCAAAAGTCATAAATCGATTAAGAGAAAACAAATCCGGGTTACAATCTAAAACCGAGGGAAACACATCAACTATAAGAGGAAAACAACAGAGCTAAAGAAACACTGAACTGTAACAACAACAAACGCCAACATACATAGAAACGGACTATTTTAATAACAACTGTCATATTCCTGACTTGGTAAAGGACATTTTAAGAAGAAAAAATGGTGAGTTGAACCTTTTATCATGGCTTGCCATACCTCCCGCTTATATGGCAATGTTAAAAAATATCGCTAAAATGACAACACTACTGGAAAGGAATACAGTACAAACAAACACAAGAAGGCTAAGCACAGAGAAATGCAGAAATAAATAATATAATAATACATTACAACATGTAAACCGCAGAATAACAACGGACATCTATTATGAATTAACGACAGCACACGACACCACAAAATATGACGTATGTTTGTTACGTATATATATAATCTTAAAATTCACACAATTATATGGAACTAGATCCAAAAATTCACAATTATTTTTATTATACTAGTCCAAATAATTATCATGAGTATGACGGTCATACCAACTGGATAACACAATTGTCAAAAAAAGGGGAAAAAAAATAAAAATTCAATTTAGAAAAAGAGCGAAAAGACAACAATACACATGGCACTAAACAGATCATTTAAGAAAGGCAACATCTAGAATCAAATGAGTTTAAGTTTGAAGAGTAAGCAAAGCTCGTTTTGAAACCTTCTTTTATTGTCAGCATTTCATATTTTACTAATTTATACATTTGAAAAGTAGTCTTCTGTAACATTAGTTAGTTAAAATTTCGTTGTTTTGGGAACATATCATTTTGTAGCTACACACCCCTCCCTCTATAAAACTAGAAACAAGTACTATTGATAATCACATGTTTTCTAATATTTATTCACTTATTAATTTTATCCGACTTTAAAAGGGTATTTCGTGTAATACTGATTCTGAAAGATTCTGAAAATTACTGAAAATACACAAAACTAAATTATTGCAAACTGAAAAAGCAATAAAAAGCCCAAATACGTACTTTTTTATAAATAACATACAAAATACCTTAATGTGCTTTTTATATATCTTGCAGAGTATATCTACACGCAGACCAGCATTTATAAATAAATGTAATATAATGTATATCTTTTGGACAAAAGTAGTCGTGGTACACAATGTTGGAAACATTTAAAAAAAATCTGAAAATTATTTACTAGTATTTTTCTCTTGCTCTATAATCAGGCCATTTTTTGGTTGTTGATTTGATTTATGTCTAAACTTTTGGTCTCTAATTATCACAGAAAGATGTGTTCGTCATTAATACGAAAAACGGTATTTAGCACATCTCATTTATTTTATTTGCGAAGGTATATCGTATTTTGATATTAACAAAACCTTCTTTTTCTCTTCTCACCTAACCATCAAGAGATCTAATATGTCAAATTTTCAACTCTTATTACTTCAACAAATATTCAACAGGGCATTCATTTATCTTTAAATGGGCCATTGTAGCTTTTCTTTTTCAAATCTATGATTGTTGAAGGTACTAGCAATGAGCTTTCGTGATGACTGTGTTTCATGACACACCATATATTACAGTTGACTTTAACTGAACAATGTTTTCATAATTATGTTCAACACAACAAAGTATAGCGAATGATCAGTACGCATGTATTGGTTTTGGATTCATATACATTGCTCAACCTTGTATTTTATAGAAACAGTTTGATGCATATAAGTATTTTCTTTTCGTCCTTATATGAAGAAGTTACAGAAGAAGTACCTTCCTTCACGGTATGGTAGTATGTCTATGTTTTGCACTAATTTATGCTTTATTTGGCATTTTGTAAGAAACTCTAGAAATTGAGGTAAAATAGAAGAAAATTTCGAAAAATGATGATTATTGAAAACCAAACAGATATTACCCATGCCAATTTCGTTGATGATTAAAAAAAGAGCACAAAGTAGGCAAAAGTCAACCGTTAACGTGTTTAAGCCGTTTTAATTTTGAGCGTACAGTTTGTTTGCTTTTTTATCATTTTCAAAATATGTTTGGGAAATCGACAGAGGTATAAAACAAATTGGTTTTGACAATGATTAGTTATATCCTATTGTCTTTAATGACAAGCATTGTTTTCTTAATCAAATTATTTCAGGTGAAGCGGGAGAACAAATTGATATGGTCAGGAAGTCAAATTCTCTGGCACAATACCGTTTAAACTTATTTTTGGTTATATCAATAGGTAAATTTCGCAATAACTATTGCATAAATTCAAAACTCGCGTAGTTTGACAAACTATTACCTTGGCATATTTTAAATGAACACATTGAAAAAAGGGGTTTTCACAATTGATGTAATTTCACATTATTATGCAATGATATGATGTCGATATTGTTTTTATCACTTCATTAAACAGTTGTTTGTTTTGTCTTTTTATACACAAGACAAAGAATTAAACAATATCATATACTATCTCGAAGTGATAAAAAAACATACACACTTGTTTCTATATAAAAGTTTTGTTTTGTCTCTACAGTATAAAAGTGGAAGTCATTGTTGAATTTCTCGGCTTGTTTAAGTATAAAAGAAGATGTAGTATGATTGCCAATGAGACACAAAACTCATTAAGAGACCTGATGACGTAGAAATAACAACTATAGGTCACCGTACGGCCTTTAACAATGAACAAAGCCCATATCGCATTGTAAGTAATAAGAGACTTCGAAATGACAATCGTAAAACAATTCATACGTGAAAAATAACGGCCTGATTTATATACAAAACATTCTCCGAAAAACAAATATCATAAACAGCAACACATGACAGCCTCTGAAATTCAGGATCCTTATTTGGGACACGCAAATACAGAATGTGGCGGGGTTTAACATGTTTGATGGAATAAAAGTCGTGTAAAATAAGCAAAACATTTGAAATAATAGACTGACCTATCGTTTCTAAAAAGTTAACACAAAATGTCAATGTTAGAAGTTTTTTTTTAATATCTATATTGTTTTTGCAAAGACGTAATATTTATATATATTAACATAATGTGAAAAGAGAATCAAGCAATGTTTAGTATTTCTTAAAGATAGAAATGCTAAGTCTCAAACAGTCATTGTAATATAAAAATCACTAGAAATGTGTGACTAAAACCATTTGTGTTGCAGGTGCGCGCCGAAGTGCGATTCTGTTTTACAGGGTTGTTTCTATTTTGAATACCCTTGTATTTATTTTTAACTGAATTTTTGCTTTATCGAGAAAGTGTATATACTTTATACGGTATGTACTATCAACGACAAACACTTTTTGTTGACGTCAACATTAAATTTAATTTTACTTTCTACTACACCTTTTTTGTTGGTGTCTTCGTTAGATGAATGTGTATGTTTGTTTGAATTTTTCAGTCAGTTGTGCTGTATGACAGTGATGTATATTTACACAGTTTTCGCTGCTGGATCCCAATTATTGCCACATTAACCTTTTATGTCAGTTTGGTTTGATCACCCAATTTCGCAACAGAACGGAACTATAAAGAACTGTCCTACAAGTGGAAGGTTTAGCTACTTTAAAAACAGGTTTTACCCACCATTTTCCTCGGAAAATGCTTGTTCAAAGTCAGGAATATGATAGTTGTTTTTCACTGGTTCCGTGATGGATAGCGCTTGATTTTGTCAGTTTTTTATGGACTTCCCTAATTTGATTTGCAATAGGGTTCCTTATTTTTGTAAGTCTTGTTTAGAGTTTTGACATTTTTTAGATATTTTGTAAATGCGGTACTGTTCATCATACATCTTGCGATCAATCCGTTACTGTCTAGTAGCTTTCATACATTTCAGTATGTTAATGTATTGTACAAGTTAAAAAAGCTACTGAAAAATCTTGACATAAATGTGAATTGACTGCAAGCGAAGTGTCTGAACAGTACTGAAACTTACGAGTTTGATTATCCCTCTGGTTGTTGTCGCCTCATTTATTGAATTCATATAGCCACTATTCTGTCTGTAATTGATTATATGATCAAAATCCCATAAGAGCATTTGATAATTTGGTTGTATGTTTCAGTAATGCTATTTTATACTTGTAGTTTGAGAACTTTCTTTCGAATATTGGAGGATCTCTTGGATTATGGATAGGAATGTCCCTCATAAGCATCGGCGAATTGCTTGAATTGTGTTTCTTTCTTCTGAATAATATGGTGAGACGTAAGAAAGTTATCGAGACGCAAACCAATGTCAACGTAAATAAGAATGTAGAACCATCTAACGAAAGTAGAAATCAATTTGTTGATATTAATATGGACCATATTGAAGAAGGAGACGGTTATAAATAAAGAACTGTTCTTTTGCTTACTATAAAAAACCAGCAACTTAAATTTCTTATATCATGTATATTGTACCCAATTATGAATATGAAATCCTTACTTGCCAAATGTGAGGATTTTTCTTTTAATTTTCGAAAATAGTTTTTAGTGTTCAAAAACCAGGAGGTCTAAGTTTGAATGCAATGTTTAATATTGATTTTATTTTATTTGTAACTTGCAGACATTAATATGCTTATACTGTAATTTTAGAAAGTATTGCAATGTGTTTATTCATGCAAAAAAAAAATAAAATAAAATCGACATTACTAGATTCGCAACAATCTATACTCGCATTCATAATTTCAGTAGTGATTCTTCTTTAAAATAGTTTTGTAATTGCATAAATAAGAGTTTTCCTTCTTATCAGTGGTCAATTATTCGCAATTATAAATGAACACATTTATTTCTGAACTTTCAGTAGTTAATCTATATATATATATATATACTGTTCTCAATAAAAGTAGTAGCCTTAAATTTAGTATATCTATCGATATGTGTTATATCATTGGAATGTCATTTATATTTTTTCTTGAATCTATACTGATCTATTTTGTATAAAAAATTGGTATTTTGTCGAAAATACCCAAGCTTGTTGAAACATTATTTCATTTTGAATATACTAATAAAAAGTACTTCCAGTTTAATCATATTATGTGTTTCAATTGAATATAGTCTCTGATGCAAGATTTTTTCTTGTTAATCATTTTTGGCTTTTTATTAGTTTTCAGCATGTTCAGTAACTGCGAGTACTCTCAGATTTTACTTTCGTGTTAATGTGACCTGTTGACACAATTTGTAATGCATTTCTGTAATCTAATATCTACTTATTTTGTGTTATATCTCACTACTTTAAACATGTCCCACCTTTGATAAGTATTTAGTATGACGATAAATTATCACTTCTGTACTCGCACTTTGAACAACAAATTTATTAATTTTGTAAAAATTGTTTACTTCCGTACAAAATTATAATATTTAAATTTACCTGTATACGTTGTTTTATTTAACGTCTTTTTGTCCGAGGTAAGAGTTGTCTTATTGACACTCTTCCTACATCTTTTATATTTCTACCTGTAACGTCTATTGTATATAGGCACATACGTTTTAATATTGTATTTATATTGTGTCATAGATCAAACTTATTCATTCAGTGAATGTTTACTTGTTTTTGTTTAAATGTCTTTTTGATCGATTTTTAGCCATTTCAATTGATATTTTATAATGTGTATTTTTATGTTGTGATGTTACACTACTGTCTCAGGTTAGGGTGAATGTTGGCGCCTGTTAAATTGTTTAACCCCGCTGCATTTTCATGCCCCTGTCTAAAGTCAGGAGCCTGTTGTTCAGTGGTTGTCGTTTGTTGGTGTGGTTCATAGGTGTTTTTCGTTTCTCGTTTTTTATATAGATTAGAACGTTGGTTTTCCTATTTGAATTGTGTTATACTAGTCATTGTGGGGCAATTTATAGCTTGCTGTTTGATGTGAGCCAAGGTTCCGGGTTGAAGGCTATACTTTGACCTATAATTATTAACTTTTCATACATTGTGACTTCGATGGGGAGTTGTCTAATTGGCACTCATACCACATCTTCTTATTTATATTAATTGAAATAAACTTGCTATGAGGTATGGGTTTTGCTCTTTGTAGAAAGCCGTAGTTGGTCTATAGTTGCTAATCTTTTACGTCATTTGGTCTCTGGTGGAGAATCGTCTGATCGACTGTCACACCACATCTCCTTATTTTTTTTTTATTTTGACTGCTGGATGTGTTGCTTGTGCTGAATCGAAGCTGTAGAATGTGTGCCCGTGTTGCTTATCTTCTACGTCATTTGTTCTCTAATGAAGATTTTTTTTCAGTAGCAATTATACAACATCTTCTTTTTTTTCATATTTTACTTATTTGTTACATTGTGCCTAAATATAGCACAGGTTTTGAATAACATTCACAAGTTTAAAGACTGACGATTACATTTATTTTTGAAGATTAGTTACAGTAAAAAGGGAAAGAAAGCAAATATAATAGCAATGCCAATCGAATGAATCATTATTGCCATAACAGGATAAGACCATAGTAAATCAAATTTCTTGCATAGATTATACTAAATGAATATTTGAATACGTTAAACCGCTGATGACAAACATGTATTTAAAGCACGCACAAAATTGTGGCGATACAAATATTTTTTAGAAGCTGTTAAATAAAGGCAACAGTAGTATACAGCTGTTCGAAACTCATAAATCGATAGAGATAAAAACAAATCCGGGTTACAAACTAAAACTGAGGGAAACGCATCAAATATAAGAGGAGAACAACGACACAACAAAAACACAACATTAAAATGTAACACACACAGAAACGAACTATAATATAACAATGGCCATTTTCCTGACTTGGTACAGAACATTTTAAGAAAAAATGGTGGGTTGATCCTGGTTTTGTGGCATGCCAAACCTCCCGCTTTTATGGCAACGTCAAACACAACACCAAAATGACAACATCACATGACAGGACCACAATACAAATAAATGGGAGAACATATAGGACAAAGAAACACACGAATAATAGCTAGCAGAAGGTACTAGGCTTAAAATTCAATACGCCAGACGTGCGTCTCATCCACACAAGACTAACCAGTGACGCTCAGATAAAAATGTTTGAAAGCCAAAACAAGTAGAAAGCTGAAGAGCACCGAGGACCAAAACTTCCAAAAAGTTGCGCCTAACACGGCCAGGATTTTCTGCCTGGGACAAGGACATCCTTATTATTTAGAATAATTTATAATTTTGCAAACAGTAAATATTATAAAATGACTATATAATAGATATACATGATAAAACGAAAGTGGGGACTAACCACAGAATAAAAACGAATACATTACATAAAACAACTTAATCCAACATATAAAAATACACAGCCGAATTAGCTAAAGCCTCAACGCACAAAGTGACGTCACATTTGAAATTCTAAAAAAACACACAAAGTGACGTCACATTTGAATTTGTAAAAATATTTCCCAAAAAAAGATAGGATTAGGATTGATTCAAGATAAATTTGTAATACTGCCATTACATTTATTAATAACAATGAAAATTACAATACTTATTAATATAAAATTGTGGTAGTAATTAGATAATTAATTGTATTATCTAGCTATGTCGGTGTTTCTTCTGAATCAAACTGTAAACCAAATATATGGTATAAATTTCGTTGAACCAAACTAAAATCTGATAATAGTAAATGAAGGGGGTGATTATTTATCTATACCATAACACACGAATATAACAGAAAATACGTTAAGTCATTTGACAAAATCCGACGAGAACAACAAATATAACATCAAAATTAAATACATGAATTTGGGATAGAAAGGTACCGTGACACGTCGTAAAGCAATGCAGTTTCACACTCAGCAAAACAGTCACAATCGGGAATAAGTCACGTTCGGTAATTAAAAGATCAGACGACGTAATGACAAACCACAATCTAACACGTGGTAAAAATGTCCTTATTTAGTTTTGACAAAGACACATCCTATGGATCAACCAATTGGTGATGGTGTCCGTAAAATTTACGGAGTGTCATTTTTAATCTGTCCTCCTCATAACTTTGTTAAACGAGTAACAAATTAATTCAGCGTAGTAACACAGATATCATAATTAACATATCTGTTAAGCCTCCACCTTAAATCATTAGTTTGTTATTCTTATCAGCAAACATATAATGTACGTAGAACGTGCACTGCTATTGTACATGTATACACAATTAACTCTAAATAAGAAAATGTGGTATAAATGCCAACGCGACAACTCTCCATCCAAGTCACAAAGAATGAAAAGTAAACAATTATAGGTTAAAGCACGGCCTTTAACACGGAAGTCCATTTGAATATGCATGATTTATCACCCAGCGTACCTTAAACAAACAAATATAGATATGCAATTGTCAAATCACACTAAAAGTGTCACTTGAACTGTGAATGATTGTAAACGGATATACAAAACTTATTAAGACTAGAATTTATAACACGTTTGAACACATGGCTAGTTAATTAACACTTTCGGAAATTAAAACATAAAAGTGCAAAATATAAATTCTACCATTGCAATAGGCGTGATACGATATTTCTCCACTCGAGATAGGTAAATTTTAAAATATCTTTTGCACGAGATTTGGTTGGTAGAATCTGTTTCTCTAATGATTTTTAATTATACCTTTTAAAATTTATTATTCAGCATCTCTTATGAAATATGTATATCGTCTGTTTGAACATTGTTGTCGTACAATATTAACCCGCTTAAAAATTCCATAGTAAAATTTGTTTGTATAAGTGTGTATTGTCCATTATAATTTGACGGATATTAGGCATTATCGATGTTCTTACTTTCGGTATCACTCTGCTCAGCTCTTTGCATATCACGGCTTTATGACGACAACTACGTTAACCTTGCCTAAATAACTTTGACCATGACATATCTATTAAATCATAATGAATGAACTGATGTTGATAAATTTGACCCCAACTTATCATGTCATCTTTCTATTGGCTGGTGAAACAACGAAAAGCACTTGTTTCTATCATACAAACTAAACAAATACAATTCGATAAATTAATTATCAAATTTTCATCATATTTATATTGTAAAATATCAATTGCTCGACAAAATATGATGACTTTTTTAACTCGTTTCCTACGCTCACTCAACAAAAAGCTTCATATTGAGACTTGCAGCTGATATTTTACAATACCAATATCTAGACACCGTACATGATAATCGGAACTTATAATAATTAAGCTATCACAAACAGCACAAGCCCCGCAACATTCTGAATATGTCTATCTAAAGTTAGGAGCTCGTTATCCAATATCCAATATTTGTCATTAATGATGTGCAATAATTGGTTTCGTTTATTGTTCTAGCACAAATGAGACAAATTGTTTTCTCTTTTGAATTGTTACACAACGTGATATCACTAGGTCATTTATAACTGGTTACGGGGTTAAGGGTTTTCTCATTTTTGGAGAACTGTAGTTGTTCACACTAGTGTCATAGGTTGATTGCTAAAAAAAACAATTTACCATAACACATATAATAATCAAATCAAGTTTCCTGAGTAATGTGATTTTATTCATAAAAATGGGATATTTTCCAGTTTTCTGACTATAACTCATAACTGGTTTGAGCAATAATCATTAAACTATGGAGCATTGTTTATATTTATTGTCATTAGAACCCTTTTGATTTAATT